CTCTGTCTTTCGGGGGAGTCGACACCCCCTATAGAAAAAACCTCCCCAAAAAAAAAAAAAAAAGAAAGAAAGAAAGAAAGCCAGAGGAGCTCCATGTTAATTATTGACATGCACCCTTTTTGTAGTATAAATGTTTGTTATGTAAACGTTGTCTTAATCCTTGCATACTAGGAGATTATCGCTACCATCTTACAAATAAGAAAACTTTAAAGAACAGACTTGTAAAAGATTTATCCTAATATCACACAGAGCTAATAAGTAACTACACTGGGACTCACGTCTGTGTTTTCAGGCAGTGTGTCCCTTGATACTTCTATGACACCTGGACGGTGATAAAGTAAATACTTTTTCAAAAAGAGGTAAATCCTAACAGTTCAGATGAAGAGAAAATACTGCAGTTCTTTCAAGGGCTAGGCTAATTTCTTTCTCTCTCTTTTTAAAGTTTCTTTCTTTCCATGAGAGAGAAACAGAAAACCATGGAAAAAGAGAGAGAGAGAGAAAGAGACTCGCCAGGGCCATCGTGCCATGATCCATCCCTAGACCATGGGGACACATATGTGTGCGTGCTCAGCTTGTTCAGAGAGGCACCAGAACACAAATTCAGCCCCTTTCCCTGAGGGCTCAGTTACATTATTGCTTTGCCACTTGGCCTTTATTAATTTCCTATCACCTTCCCTCTCCTTTCTCCCCTCCCTCCCTTTTCCTCTCCCTGGTATTCCAATAGTAATATTTTGGTTAACCTTATTGCATATGCACACTGCAATTAAAATGGTTTATTATCTAATCTCTGTAATTTATGCTTATAAAGGAAGAGATACACTGGTCCCTGAACAATTATTCTGGTCTCTATGGAACAAAATTAAATATTTTTTTCCAAACTTCACCAATTAATCTTTTGTCCTCATTTGAGAACATGTTGTTTCTATATAACCTTATGCCTGGATTACAATTTAACTTTCTGAGCACTGTACTAGAAATTAGAAACATAAATCTCATTGTTGGCTATTAAGGTTCTGTCTTTAGTTTGTTTCAAATTTTCAAGCTCTATTAGCAGCTAAACTTGATTAAATATCAACCTTTCAGTACTTAGAAGATACTTTTTTCCTTTTCTCTGAGATCTTGTGAAAGAGACAGTTTTGTTTTTATTTCTTTTTCCCTTTTTGGTGTAGTTTATTTGGCCTTTTTCAGGTAGGGATTTTAGACTAAATAAGAAAACATTCTTTTAGCTATTAAGAGTTCAGAAACAAAATCCAGATGGACCTACAATTAAATTCCCTCTCCACCATTTACTGGATGTTTGACCTTCAGTAAGTTGCTTACATTTTTTTGTTCTCTCTCTCTTTTTTATAATTTTTCCAGAGGGTGCTTGCACTTGGTAGAAGTGGATGGGGGAGAGGTGGAAGAAAATGAGAAAACACCCCTCCTTCACAGGGGGAATACTCACATTGCAATCTCTTTTCCATTTCTCCCTACTCTTGGGATTTGGGCATGCATGCACATGTGTCCATTGTGTTTTTAAGTCACCAGGTCTAAGACCTGAACCGTGGAGTCAGCCATGTGAGATCACCTGCCTTACCCACCACACTCCCGGTTGACCTTGAATATTTTACATTTGCTAAAACTGTTTTTTCGTCTCCAGGATGGCACTACCTATAGCATGTGTCTCCAGTAAGGATTAAGTATCTCTCATATACCTAATACATTGCCTTCCCCATAGTTATTGTTATATTAGTCTAGAAGAAATTAAGTAAGAAAGTCAAAGACCTTGAAGCTTTGTGTCCTGTTAGAGCAGGATGAACTAAACTGCCTGTGAATTTTGTAGAGGGTGGGCTTAGAGGACCACAAGTGTCTGCAGTAGAAGTGAAAGTAGGTGGCATCGAACGGAGTATAATCTAGTTTGGGTGAAACGTTGCTTCTCACTCCTTCCTTCCTTCATTTTGTAAAACCTCCGTTCATTTCTCCTTCCTGCTGCCCTATCACAATCATTGTCTGTAGGTTCCATGGCAGCAAGCTACCGAGTGCCTTCAAACGAAGGAAACTGAGGTTAAATGAGCTTTTATCTGAGTTTTCTTTGTTGTTGTTTTTTTTTTTTTTTTAAGTCCTAGTGATAAAACTACAGCACTTGGTGAAACAAGTGAGAGTGCAATCATTTACTTACTTATTTATTGATTTTAGATAGATTTTCTCTATCATGATCCCCCTCCTACCTCAGCTCCCTGTAGGAATCACCATCCATGATCATGGCATGTACCACCATGCTCAGTTCTTTTTTAGACAGGGTCTCACTTTATTACTCAGGTCATCCTCAAGCTCACAATGTTCTCACTTTAGCTTCAAGTTGCTGGGATCACAGGTGCATGCTACTGGCTTGGCCTACAGGTTGGACCAGGAATCTACCCCAGTCTTCCATGTGGTCCTACCCTGCAGAGCAGAGTCATAACAGCGTTTGGCTCTATGGTTAAGCCTGTGTGATATTTAAAGCTACTTTTCTATGCCATGCCTCTACTCGCCTAGGCCTGACACTCTTCCACTTCTCTTTCTGCCACCTAGTTCAGATATGAACCCCCTCTGTCTCATTCCCAGTCCTGTGGTCCTCAGCAGAAGCAAAAGACCATTTTAGGACATTTCAGCCAGGGGGAGGAGACTTGATGATAATCCTGCTGAATGTACCTTGCTTGACACAACTTAATTTTCAAATGAAATAAAAATCCTGTATGCTAAAGTGCTTTAATCTCTTATGTATAACACCAATCTCAAAGACTCATTTTATTGCAGGCCCTGCTTGAATTTCTCCAAAGAGTCATAGATAATAAAGAGAAAAATAAAATGACACTAATGAATGTAGCAATGGTCATGGCCCCGAATCTCTTTATGTGTCATGTGTTGGGTGTGAAGTCCAGTGAACAGCAAGAATTTGTAATGGCAGCTGGGACAGCAAATATCATGTACTTATTGATTAAGCATCAAAAATTTCTGTGGACAGTAAGTATATAATTTTAAGCTCTATTAATGACCATGTAATTTCCTAGCATAATTTTTGCAGTCTATTTATCTTCTATCATGAGAGGGAGGAGGAGGGAGAGAAGTAAGAGGGAGAGGAAACTTCCATGGGGTCTCCAAGCTGCAACCCTGTCTCCAGCCCTGCAGCCAGCCAAAATCATGGGTGTGTCCTGTATGTTCAGGATGGACCCTGGATATGAACCCAGAGCCTTCCTGAATGTCCTCGAGCAACACACAGCAGCGCCCTACTGCCTGCACGTTTGTTGCTGGGTCCTTGGTATAATCGTTTATAGCAATTTTGAACATGATTTTTTAAAGCTGATATAAAAATGTAAAATGCTCTTTTTGTTCTTAGTGGTTTGTTACCAACTTTGTGAAATTACATTTTAAATTTGGGAGTACAACAAACACTAATAGTGTTTTATTAAAAGAGCTAAGGAGGATCTGTGAATTCTGTTTTAAAAGCATAAAATGCTATTGAGAAAATATGCCTCATATGAGTATATCTTACTTAATTCTGTCAATTTTTCTCTTTTCCCAATATTTAGACCTGTTCTCTTTTTAAATGTTCTTATTATCTTAGAATCATATCTGGCCACAGTATTTTTTACAGTCTCTCTCTTTTTTCTTTTTTTTAAAGGGATGCACACAGTTTGTGCCACAATTGCTGACAACATCTAAAAAATGGTTTTCTCTGTCTTACCCTTATTTTGGGCATAAGTTGTGACAAATAATCAGAACATGGTGGTAGATGAGAAGCTTTGTTGACTAGAATCTCATTTTCCAGTGAAGTTTATTTATATTTTTGTTATAGGGTGCCAGAGAGAGACAGACAGAGGGAAAGGTAGAAATCACCTCCTAGGGCGGATGGCCACACTGCAAGTACTTTTCCATTCTTCTCTTGGAATTTTAGTTGTGTGCACACATGTGCCTGGCATGATTTTCAAGCCACTGGGCCCAGTACTTGAACCATGGTCAGACATGTGGGAGTCCAGCACTTTATCTACCATGACAGCAGCTAGCCCTGAGATTTAATTTTTTAACAATAATTATTTCATTTTATTTATCATTATTACTATCATTATTAATTTGCTATAGGGCATGTGCGAGAGAGAGAGTGAGAGAGAGAAAGTGTGAAAGCAAGCCTCCAGGTCCAGGACTCGAACTGCAGTCCAGCATGTGGGAGTCTAGCACCTTAATCACCACACTACCTGCTGGCCCCAAAATGTAATATTTTTAAAGAATTATTTAATTTTATTTGTTATTATTAGTATTACTGTTTTGTTTTTAATTTGTTACAAGGTACATTTGTTCACCAGAGTGAGTGAGAGAGGGAGGGAGAGGGAGGGAGGGAGGGAGGGAAGGAGGGAGAGAGAGAGAGAAAGAGAGAGGGAGAGAGAGAGAAAGCAAGTTGCAAGCTCTAGGACTCAAACTGTGGTCTGCCAAGTGGGAGTCCAGCAGCTTAACCACAATGCCACCTGCTGGCTCTAAAATTTAATTTTTTTGAAGGAGGCATCTGATAGGCATTTAGAAAAATGAACTAAAGAAATTTCAAGTAAAATGCAAGTATTTACTATTAAAAATTTCAAGTAAAATTTTAATTATTTACTATTAAAAATTATACTTTTTTGCTGGAGAGAGAAAATGCCTCTCAAAGGGCCTATGATGCTGCAATAATTTTTCCTCCATTTCTCCTTTTTTAAAAAAAATGTTTTATTTAATTTTATTTATTCATTCATGTATTTTCATTTGACAGAGAGAGACATAGAGAGAGAGAAAGGGAGAGGAAAAGTGAGAAAGTAAGTCACCAGGTCCGGGACTTGAACTGTGGTCAGCCATGTGGGAGTGCCCAGCACTTTAATCACCATGCCACCTGCTATTCCCTTCCATTTCTCCTTTCTGTCAAAATTCTGTGTGCACACACATGTACTGGTATGTGTTTCAAGCCACCAGGTCATGATTCAAATTGTGACTGGCCATGTGGGATCTGATTCCATATACGTAGCTGGCCCAAATGAATGTACACTTATTAAGTCTCAAGTTTTAAAATGTTAATATCATTTCATGATTATATTTTGGTAACTTAAAATATTTTTTTTTTTGCTGATGTGATTTCTTTTTTTTTTTGAGAGGTTTTTGCTATAGGGCACGTATGGTCACCGGAAGAGACGGACAGAGAGACAGAAAGTGAGAAATATCCCCCCAGGGGGGATGGCCATGCCACAATCCCTTCTCCTCCATTCTCCTCTTGGGATCTTGGGCATGCACGCACACACGCCTGGCGTGAGTTCTAAGCCACTGGGTCTGGGATGTGAACCACAGTCAATTACATAGGAGTCCAGCGACATAGCCATTACACTAACTGCTGGCCCCTTGCTGATGTGATTTCTAAGGATAAATTTTTTATGATTATTATTTTTTATGATACCTATCTATCAGCTTTTATTCGTTGGTGAGTTTTTCTTTCTCTTGTGACAATAGAGGCCTCCTGATTATTAGAAGGGAACCAGGACCAACTAATGGCATGATGGTTAAGGTGGTTGGATCCCACATGGCCTGCTGTGTAATTCGAGTCCCAGACTTGGAAACTTGAAAATTTTCCTGGTTACGTGTGTGTGCCTGTCCAAAATCCCAAAAGGAGAGAGAAGTGGAAGAGAGGGGATTGTAGTGTGAACGTCCACCCTTAGAGATGCTCTCTCTCTTCCTCTCTCTCTGTCCTTAGCTAGCATACATGCCCTCTAGCAAATTTCAAAAAATTAAAATATTATTATAAATAATGAAAAAAAATAAAGGAACCCTACAGTAGCTAGAAGGCTAGAGGCAGCTGCTCAAGAGAAGAACCCAAGGTGGGGAAAATCCACCTAGAACCACCTAGATGGCCTCTCTTGCTAGTCACCACAGGGAGTCTCAGCATCCACATCCGTGACGTGGGTGAGGCCACTAGGTCCTTTAACTTCATAAAGCCTTTTTGGATTCCTTTACTGGGTGATAAATTGCATCATGTGAATGGTTTGAGCTCCTGGTAGATGAGTTATGTGATGCATTTTCTTTTCTCAGATTTAATGAGTAGTAAAATGTACATGTAAAAAGGCATAGTCTTATCAAATAGATAAGACTTACTGCTCTCGAAAGTTTAGACTTAACAATAATTGTTTCTATAGTTTTAAAAGGTGCCATTTCTTTTTCCTCCTCAAACTTAATCTTTTTTTTCTCTATAGATTCCCAAATTTATTATAAACCAAGTGAGGAAGCAAAACACTGAACATCATAAGAAGGACAGAAAAGCAATGAGGAAATTGCTGAAGAAAATGGCTTATGACCGAGAAAAATATGAAAAGCAAGATAAGAGTACGAATGATGTAAGAGCATATTAAAGATACCTATTTTTTCAGATTTCACTATTTTTTTAATGTTAAAGAAAAATGTCGTGTATTTCCAAATTAGACTTTCTAGAGTTGAATTGGCCCTGGTCATATCTGTGTGTTAAAGGCAGCAATGATGATAACTACACTCTTACTAGTGAGTAGTAGACAGTTGGTAAGGGATTGGTGACTCGGCATTTGAGTTGTTAATGAGGGACAGAAAGAGCAAGACCATACTCTTTGAACTCATACACATGTGCACAAGTACATCCACACAAGTCCTGCAGAGACCCCAGTTGTCCACTGAATATCTGATACATAGTGAATAAAGAATCCCTTGCATGGGGAGAGCTGGTGGCATGGTAGTTAAGGCAGCTGGACCCACACGGTAGACTGCATGGTTTGAGTCCTGGACCTAGTAACTTGAAAACAAGCCAGGCATATGTGCGTGTGTGCCCAAAATCCTGAGAGGAGAGATGAAGGATAAGGAGTTGCCGCACGGCCATCCCTCCTGAAGGGTGAGTTCTCATTTTCCTTCTCTCTCTGTCTCTCTCTAGTGAGTACACATGCCCTTCAGCAAAAACTAAAAATAAGTCAACATTTAAAAAAGAAGAGTCCCCTACATGAACCATTAATCTTTTCCCTCAATTTGCTCATCTGTAAAATGGGGAAAAAATAACCCAGATATACAAATAGGTTAAAGTTTGTGTTGTACCTTGGGTCATTCCTGGACATTAATAAGTACTCAAAGATTTTTATTGTGATCAGAAGAAGAAAGGGCTATGATAGACAAAAGAAAATCAAGGTGTTTCAGGAAAGAATCTCTAAATATCAGCATTTACAAGATACTGTAAAATGCATAAGAACTGAGTTTACAATAATGAAGTACATGTAAACATACATTCATGAAGTGAGTTACCCAAGCTCTAGAAATGAAGGGGTTTGTTTCTATTGTTCTATTTGAGAGAATACATCACCCCACCACTACACCTTTGAGGTTGTTCAGTTACATGCTGACATCTTGTGGGAAAATGTGAAAATGCAATTTTCAGCCTTTGTCTTTTTCTTTTTTTTTGGGGGGGGGCCAGTTTTCGTGGAGTCAATAATTAGATTAAAGGAATGCTTTTTTGAATGTATTTAAAACCCTCACTCTTAAAAAAAACAACATGTTTTTGTCATTATAAAAAATTTAAATCAATTTGTTAGTGTCTTTAAAGCCAGGAAATTTCAATAAAGAAAAATCGTAAATAATGTTTATATTTTTTTGAGAATGTATTTGATATTATAAGTCTAGAAAATACTTTTTCTTTTTCTTTTCTTTTCTTTTTTTTTTTTTTTTTGAGAGGTTTTTGCTCTAGGGGGGCATGTGCTCACCAGAAAGACAGAGAAAGACAGAAAGACAGAAAGCAAGAAATCACCCCCCTCCCCCAGGGGAATGGCCACATTGTAATCCCTTCTCCTCCATTTTCCTCTTGGGATCTTGGGCACACACGCACATGTGCCCGGTGTGAGTTTAAGCCACCGGGTCTGGGACTCAAATTGCAGTCGACTACTTGGGAGGCCAGCAATATAGCCATTATGCTAACTGCTGGTCCCTAGAAAAGATTTTTCGAAGTTTATGTCTTGAGAGACAGAGAACAAGAAAGATGAGTGTCCACGATAAGGTCTTAGGTTGTGAGCCTCAGCCATGCTCCTTTTAGCCAGCAAGCATCTCAGGCATGCATGTGTATGCACCTGGTGTGGACAAGTTGACCTGTAACCAATCTTCCATCTTCTATATGACTTCTACAATTGCAGGGATTGTGCTATCCCTGTGCCACCATGATGGGGCCTAGGAGTTTTCACATACCATTGTCATTTAATTTTAGATAGTTTTATTACTTCAAACTATTGTAAATATGTGAATAACTTGTGTCTTATAGCTACAATTTGTCATATTAATCCAAGTCACATTATAGCCTAGTCTTTTCATAAGACAGTTATGCAATAGTACTTTAAGGCCTTGTCTATCTATAAAGAAATGATATTTGTGTTGTACCTTTTAAAAAATACACAAATATCTAAAGGTTACTTTTTTTTTTAATTACCAAGGGGTTGTGTACTCACCAGAGAGCGAGAGTGAGAGTGAGGGAGAAAGAACCCCCCCCCCAACCATGGGGCCTGGTTATGCTCAAAACCCCTTCTCTTTTTCTTTAGCCTGTTGGGATTTTGGGTGTGCACACATGTGTAGCAAGCATGTTGGTCAAGCCATGGGCCAGATTTAAACCTGAGTTGGTCTATTGAGATTTGGCATCCTTAACCACTAGGATTTGGGGCTGGCCTAAAGGTTATATTTTTGAAGATGGACTATTTAAGTATCTTGGTCATTTACAGAAAAGCAGCATTAACTTGGATTTCTTTAGTTTACCCTTTGAGTTAAGTAGAAATCAACTGGTCTGAAAATTTCCTCTGTGCTATTTCAAAGCCGTACCATCATTTTAAGGCTTGGTTTTTAATTCTCAGCTTTATCATGTGTTAGCTGCAGGTTCACTTCTCTGGGTTTTGCTTTTCTCTTCTGTGAAATACAGTTATTCATTTAACAAAATGCTAGTAAGTGCCTCCTTGATGCCAAGCTCCAGCTCCATGAGAAATACACAAAAGTTGTTGGAGCTGGATGTTCGTCTCAGGGAACAGGAGAGAGATATACAAGGAATTTAGCTCAGAGATGCTTAGAAGTCTGTGAGTGAAACCTGGCCAGGGTCCCTTGGGCTGCAAAACAGAAAGTGGGCGTATGAAATGCTTCACTGGGGAGTCAGGCTGAGATGAAAAATAAGATGTTATTCAGACGTCACTAGAATAGAGAGATCTAAGCTAACTAGCTCTGGAAGTTTCTTGCACATCAGAGTCTTTTTGGAGTGTCATTATGATTGAAAAAAATTTTTTTAAGGTTTTGACATGGAGCATGTGTGCTCATCAGAGAGACAGAGGAGAGGGAAAGTGCGAAATTATCCCCCTGGGAGGGATGGCCGTACTGCAGTATTTTCTCTCCCATTCTCTTGGGATTTGGGGTATGTATGCAGCTGTACCTGGCATGATATTTAAGCCGCAAGGCACAGGACTCAAACCATATGGGAGTCCAGAGCCTTCGCTACTATGTGGTCTGCTGGCTCTTGGTTGAAAAATTTTAATCAATTTCCAGATTTTTTTTTTCAAATTGGTATCATTTTATTAGGGAGAATAAATATACACAGGAAATGATTATATGACAACAAAATTATGAGATAAGTTCAAATGTTGTGGGTATATGGTGAGCCCCTAAGTAGTCAGTTTTTTACATAAGCTTCAATCAATTGCCAGAATTTTAAAAATTTATTTGATTGATATTTATTTTTTTTTCAAATTGTGATTTCTGGCTTAGATATATTTGTTGTACATCTTTGTGGGGTATAGTATGTTTTTCTAAAGCATATATGCAGTGCATAATAATCAAATCAAGGGTATACACATATTCCTTTTTTTTTTTTTTAAGAGATTTTTGTCATAGGGGATGTATACTTGCCAGAGAGAGAGAGAAAGCAGAAACAATGAGAAGGAAAGTGAGAAATCACCCCCCATGAAGGCTGGCCATGCTACAGTCCTGTCTCCATTCTCCTGGGATCTTGGGCATGGATGTATACCTGCCCAGCATGATTTTCAAGCCACTGGGTCTGGGACTCAAACTGTGGTCAACCCTGTGTGAATTCTGTGACATAACCACTACACCATCTGGTGGCCCTCATATTCATCTTCTTAAACATTGTATGTTACATTATGTTTTACACATTTGATATTAGTTCTACTTGTCTTTGTTTAATTCTGCTAGTTTACACTGTCCCATAGCCTCGTCCCCTTACTTACATGCATTCTTTTTTTTTTTTTTTGGAGAGGTTTTCGCTATAGGGCGCGTGCACTTGCCAGACAGACAGAGACATAGAGACAGAAAGCGAGAAATCACCCCCCAGGGGGGATGATCACGCCGCAATCCCTTCTCCTCCATTCTCCTCTCGGGATCTTGGGCACGCATGCACACGTGCCCGGCGTGAGATTTAAGCTACCAGGTCCGAGACACGAACCGCGGTCGACTACATGGGAGTCCAGTGACATAGCCATTACGCTAACTGCTGGTTCCCCTTACATGCATTCTTGTGATCATTAATAATTTTCTTTTTTTTAAGAGGTTTTTGCTTTAATATGTGTGCACTTGTCAGAGAGACAGAAGAGACAGAGAGACAGAAAGCGAGAAATCAAACCCTTGGGGAGATGGCTATGCTGCAATCCCTTCTCCTTCATTCTCCTCTCGGGATCTTGGGCACCTTGGGCATGCACACACATGTGCCCATCACGAATTGAAGCCACTGGTTCCGGGACTTGAACCACGATCGACTACATGGGAGTCCAGCAACATAGCCATTACGCCGATTGCTGGCCCCATCATTAATGATTTTCTTGGGACCAGCAGATGGAATAATGGGTACATTCCTGGATTCCCACATAGTTGACCCCAGGTCAAGTCCTGGACCTGGTGGCTTGAAACTCATACCAGGCACATTTGCTTGCATGCCCAAGATCCCGAGACGACAATGAAAGAGAAGGGATTGCAGCATGGCCATCCTCCCTGGGGGCTGATTTTTCACTTCCTGGCTCTGTGTCTCTCTCGTGAGTGCACACACCATATAGCAAAAATCTCTCTTAAAAAATATAATTTTCTGGGACCAGCAGTTAGCGTAATGGGTATGTCGCTGGACTCCCATGTAGTCGACCACGGTTTGAGTCCTGGACCCGATGGCTTAAACTCACACCGGGCATGTGTGCATGCATACCCAAGATCCTGAGAGGAGAATGGAGGAGAAGGGATTGCGGCGTGGCCATCCCCCCTGGGGGTGATTTCTCGCTTTCTATCTCTCTGTCTCTCTTTGTCTGGTGAGCACACGTACCCTATAGCAAAAAACCTCTCCAAAAAAAAGAATATATATATATAT